AAATGGAAATTCTTGGGCCCCACTCCAGACCTACTGAATAAGCAACTCTGAGGGTAGAACCTAAAAAAATTATGTCTTAACAAGTCATCTGGGTGATTCTGATGGTAAAGCTTGATGTCACCAAATGATAATGACACTTTTTTTTTTTCCCGAGATGGAGTCTCTCTCTGTCACCCAGTCTGGAGTGCAGTGGCGTGATCTTGGCTCACTGCAACTTCCACCTCCCAGATTCTCCTGTCATGGCCTCCTGAGTAAGCTGGGACTACAGGCGCACGCCACCATGCCTGGCTAATTTTTGTATTTTTAGTAGAGATGGGGTTTCATCATACTGGTCAGGCTGGTCTCAAACTCCTGACCTCAGGTGATCCACCTGCCTTGGTCTCCCAAAGTGCTGGGATTACAGGCATGAGCCACCATGCCCAGCCTGATAATGACACTGTCTTTAAGAGAGAGGAGAGGGCTAGAGGCAGTGATTATGTGCCAGAGAAAACTAGCAGCCTAAATTTAAGAGCATAATATAATATAATCCAGAGCTTTTCAGAGGGAATAGTTATAGTTTATAAAAGGCATTAAGACATAAAGCAGATTATTGAAACTTCATTGTACACTGTAACCATATAATTGACTTTTACTTATATATTTCCTCTTTTAAAGTTTGTGTTCAGATCGAAAGATGAGAACCTTAATCAAGTTTTATAATATTTTATTTTAGATTTTTGTAAAAGTGAATGCTCTTTATGTTCCATAGCAAGTAACAAGTAACTGAAAAGCTACTGAAAAGTGTCCAACCCAAGAATTTTGTGTATTTTTCATTTTGAATATACTTCTTGGTGATTTCAATTTTGAATCCTAGCCCTTTTAAATTTAGTTTAAAATGGCTTCAATAAGACTGGGCACGGTGACTTGCGCCTATAATCCCAGCACTTTGGGAGGCCCAGGTGGGTGGATCACGAGGTCAGGAGTTTGAGAACAGCCTGACCAACATGGTAAAACCCTGTCTCTACTAAAAATACAAAAATTAGCTGGGCATGGTGGTGCATGCCTGTAATCCCAGCTACTCAGGAGGCTAAGGCAGGAGAATTACTTCAACCCCGGAAGGCTGAAGTTGCAGTGAGCCAAGATCACGCCACTGCACTCCAGCCTGGGCAACAGAGACTCCGTCTCAAAGCAAAAAAAGGAGGGAGGGGCTTTAATAAATTAAGTGGTACATTTTAAATATTTTAATTGTTTATTATATATTATATATGCAGATAAACCTGGTTAGATATAGAAGATTTATATTCCTATTTACGTATATCCTTTTGACAAATTAGAATTGAAAATAATATAAAAATAAATTTTCTTTTTGTCATGCAGACTTAAAAAGTAAAATATCTACCTACTATTATTTGTATCTTTTTTGTTTATAATGGTTTGGAAGTGAATATCTGATTTTCTATACTGTGAAAAACATGTATAAAGTATCATGGAAGTTCAACATTCATTTTCCTTGAAGATAATTCCAAAGTTTTCTTCTCCAGAAATATATGCTGTTATCATTAGGTTTAGTTGTACAGATATATGGCAGTATGATGATTTGTAATTTTTAAAATATATTTGATTCATAACACTTTTTTTTTTTAAGATGGAGTCTCACTGTGTCACCCAGGCTGGAGTACAGTGGTGCGATCTCTGCTCACTGCAACCTCTGCCTCCCGGGTTTGAGCGATTCTTCTGTCTCAGCCTTCTGAGTAGCTGGGAATACAGGTGCCTACCACCATGCCTGGCTAATTTTTGTATGTTTAGTGGAGACAGGGTTTCACCATGTTGACCAGGCTGGTCTTGAACTCCTGACCTCAGGTGATCCCCCTGCCTCAGCCTCCCAAAGTTCTGGGATTTACAGGTGTGAGCCACTGTGTCCGACCTATTTTCCTCTTTTTTTTTTTTTTTTTTACCTTTTTTCCTTCCCTTTTTTCCTTCCTTTCACTGTTTTTGTCTTTTATGTCTCTCACCCTCGCCCTTCCTTTTCAATGAACTCAATTCAAAGAGCAATATACTGCCATATCTGGAGAAGTTTTAGCTGGATTTTAATCTTTATTGTTAAAGGGTAAGAATTTATACCAATTACTGTGTTTTTGACTGAGGTTGTTTTACAGAAGGAATTCATTTTTTTATGTAGGAATGTGTTTTAAGACTTTTTGTTTATAAGTTTCGTAGAGAAAAAAAGGTAAAAGATTGACATTATTCTCATACTCTTTTACTCTTTTCTCAAAGGTCTTAGTTCAGGTCCTAATTTTCTTTCAATTATAGTCATAATTTATTTAACCGGTCCCCTTTAGATGGTCATTTGGGTTGTATACATACTCTTGTCTGTGTTTTATCAGTCATGTATTATGTAATTTCACATATGTGCAAATATATATTTGAAGGATAACATTCTAAAATTGCTGAGTTAAAGGGTATATGCATTTACAAACTTGACAGATATTGCCAGTTGTCTCTATAAAGTGGAACTGGTTTATACCATCACAGCTAGTATATAAATGTCTGTTTTCTACCACATTATTAAATTACTGAACTTTATCCATTTGATGGAAAAGGAGAAATCTGATTGTAATTTATTTTTTACATTTTTAATTTTTTTATGAGATGTCTTGGTATGTTGGCCAGGATGGTCTCAAACTCCTAGCCTCAAGCAGTCCTCTCACCTCAGTCTCCCAAAGTTCTGGGATTACAGGCATTAGCTACCATGCCTGGCCCTGATTACCCTGTCCCCCCCACTTTTTTTTTATTTTGAGACAAGGTCTCACTCTGTCACCCATGTTGGAGGGTGGTGGTGTGACCACTGCACCCTCAAGACTGCTCACTGCAGCCTTGGCCTCCTGGGCTCAGGTGATCCTCCTGCCTCAGCCTCCCAAGTAGCTGGGACCAAAGACACATGCCACCGTGCCTGGCTGATTTTTTAAATTATTTGTAGGGACGTGGTCTTGCTATTTTGCACAGGCTAGGCTCAAACTCCTGAGCTCAAGTTATCCTCCTGCCTCAGCCTCCCAAAGTGCTGTGATTACAGGGCTGAGCCACTGTGCCCAGCCTCTGATTATACTTTTAATTGTAATTTCTCTTATGCTCGAAGTTGAACATATACAGTAAGGACTTTAGAGTATTATAGGCTGAAGTTTCAGAATCATCCAGGACCAATGAGGGTAGCAGAAAGACAACTAGCCAAGGAGTACAGTAAAGACTTTAGAGTATTATAGGCTGAAGTTTCAGAATCATCCAGGACCACTGACGGTACAGAAATACAAAACTAGCCAAGGAGTATCGAGAGGACAAAATTGATAATTGATATTGTTATTACTTTCAATGTTTGATTGCATTGATTAGCTTATTACTTTTATTAAAGTCATTTTAAAGAGCATATAAAGTTCTATGCCAAAGCATGTTTGGCCTGACAAGTTGGGCTGTCATTTCCTTTTGACAAGACTTTCATTTTTATCACTCTTAAATGCATGTATCGTTACAGTTCTGGTTAGGTAACATAATTATCCCATTGCAGAATGTGTAATTTCAGAAGAGTATTGTGGATATTTGATGCTTCTCCTCTGAAAACAATTGAATTGTTTTCAGACCACTTTTATTTCAGTAAGATAAATGTAAACTAAGTTTGAATGAGATTTAAGTTTAATGGCTCACTTGCTAAACCTGAGTTGGACAATCCTCACAATTCCTTACGGATGTGGCAAGGTCATCCTTAAATGTAAAGTTCTTGCTTACTTAAGGAAAGCACTGTAGATACATAAATAACATTGTTACCTGTCTTAGTGGGTCAATATAATAGACAGGGGGTGGTGGTACATGTGAGAATAGTGAAATATATAGCTAGTTTTGAGGCCCTTATGACTTTTAAGAGGTATTATGAGTCACTTTAACAAATTAGTGTTTGTGACATAGTTTCAGTTTCTTATTGGAAAGATAATATTTCAATTGTAAATGTTCTTTTAATATTCTGGAGAGCTACTCTTTCTTAGCCCGTCTGTTTTACTGACTTTAAAAGTTGTTTACAGTTTGTTTCATGTTCAAATACAGGATTTTAGTAATTCCTTGGGGTGGGGGCAGAAGGCCGTTGTCTCTGATTTTCCTTTTCCCAACTTTCACTTTCTTTTTTCTTTGGATTACATTCCAAGGTGAGTGAGGAAAAGGGTGGGGATTGAGAAAAGGGAGCAATTTATTGTTTGTTGGGGAGGTCCAAAATAAAGTCATTTAAGGAATCTGTCATAAAATTTAAATATATGATGAAGCTTGTGCAAGGGGATTATAAGAACTAGTTTAACCCTTTTTGCTTTATAAAAAAGAAATCCTGTTGATGGCAAAAAGACAAACACAGTAGCCAACTGTACTGTACACCTTGCATTTGTTTGCATTAATATTAGTTGTTTTATTTTATTTTTTGAGATGGAGACTCACTCTGTTACCCAGAATGGAGTGCAGTGGCATGATCTTGGCTCACTGCAACCCCTGCCTCCCGGGTTCAAGCAGTTCTCCTGCCTCAGCCTCCCAAGTAGCTGGGATTACAGGTGCCACCAGGCCTGGCTAATTTTTGTATTTTTAGTAGAGACGGAATTTCACCATGTTGGCCAGGCTGGTCTTGAACTCTTGACCTCAAGTGATCCGCCTGCCTCAGCCTCCCAAAGTGCTGGGATTACAGGTGTGAGCCACCGCGCCCAGCAGTATTAGTTGTTTTAGATTGTAGACTCTTTAATGATATGGACTATGTGTTGTAAAATCCCTAGCCTGAAGTAAAATGCATTTGGATGTCCCCACAGCCCTATTTAACTTAAATCCTTTTTCCCCCTTGCAGTCAGTGCATTTTTATATTTGTACATACTTTGTGAGAAATAGGTAAAGGAAATATTTTTGCATCTAATTGTTCTAACTTCCAAAGGTTCTTTACTGAGTTAAAATAATTTTTTTTTTTTTTTTGGTCTAAACTGAATTTTGTCTGTCTTTCCCCTACTCAGGCCCAGATTGCCTTCCTACAGGGAGAAAGGAAGGGCCAAGAAAATTTGAAGAAGGATCTTGTGAGGAGGATCAAAATGTTGGAATATGCTCTTAAACAGGAAAGGTAATTCAGTAAAATGAAAAGTGGTGTTCTTTTTTTTTGTTTGTTTTTGAGATGGAGTTTCGCTCTTGTTGCCCAGGCTGGAGTGCAATGGTGCGATCTCGGCTCTCTGCAACCTCCGCCTCCTGGTTTCAAGCAGTTCTCCTGCCTCAGCCTCCCCAGTAGCTGGGATTACAGGCATGCGCCACCACACCGAGCTAATTTTGTATGTTTAGTAGAGATGGGATTTCTCCATGTTGGTCAGGCTGGTCTTGAACTCCTGACCTCAGGTGATCTGCCCACCTCGGGTCTCCTAAAGTGCTGGGATTACAAGTGTGAGCCACTGGGCCCGGCAAAAATGGCGGTCTCTTAAATGTTGGAATAATTTTTTCATCATTCCTAAAATAAATTTAAATGTTAATACTGCTTGGATTCAGGAGTATCTGTAGTAAACATTTGTATGAATGGTTGTAATATGTTAATTTTATGAATAGTTTAATAGTGATCAAAAAACTGATTTATATGATTTTTTAAAAATTAGCAACATGTTTTTCCTACTCTGCCTGTTTTGAAGAAACAGATGTGCTCCCTGAACTGTCAATATCCATTCATTTTAAAGTTGAAATCGTTTTTAATTTTTAAACAAAATTTCTATAATGTTTACTCTTTTTCCTGTCATTTAATATTACTCAATTTGATGTATTTTCTTTAGAAAAAAATTGTTCCAGCAGACTATGTTGATTCTATATAGACTTTTTTTTTTTTTTGAGACGGAGTCTCGCTCTGTTGCCCAGGCTGGAGTGCAGTGGCATGATCTTGGCTCACTGCAAGCTCCACCTCCCGGCTTCACACCATTCTCCTGCCTCAGCCTCCCAAGTAGCTGGGACTACAGGTGCCCGCCACCACACCCAGCTAATTTTTTGTATTTTTAGTAGAGACGGACTTTCACCATGTTAGCCAGGATGGTCTCGATCTCCTGACCTCGTGATCCACCCATCTCAGCCTCCCAAAGTGCTGGGATTACAGGCGTGAGCCACCGTGCCCAGCCTATAGACTTTTTTGTGTGTGTTTTGTTCCTTTGCTGTCTGCCGTTACAATCTCTCCAGAAGCTTATCTTACCTTTCTATTTTGCTAGTTTCTAAGATACTCAAGTAACTAAATTTGGGTCACAAGTAAAGGAAAATAGGTCATGAGTGAGAGTTTTGGAAGTTGTATGAGTTATTTATTTGCTTTAATGAATAGGCCTTGGATTTTTTTGTCAATAGTCTGAGCCAGTTCATTTTTTTTAGGTAACTGAGTATGTATAGGTAATATTGGAATTATCTCTTTTGCTACTTTTTTGCTTCGTTTTTAATGATGCTTGTTTTGTTTTTCTCTTTTTCAAGTTGGTGAATGGGATATTTGCAATAAAATAGCATTTAGATACAATTGGATAAATAGATGATATTTATGAATAATGAGAAAGATAAAATTCTATTAGAACTTGTGTTCATCATCATGTAGAATCTTTAAATGGCATAAGAGATTGAAAATAGGTTGACCTCTTAGTGAAAAATATGTGTTTCTTTTCATATTCAGGAAAGTTGGTGAAAAGCTGTATTAGGGACATGGAAAGAATAAAAACATTTTTAAAAGTACGTAATTTGGGAGTAGTGAGATTTTTTTTTTTTCTTTTTCTTTTTCTTTTTTTTTTCCGCAGAGTCCCGCTTTGTTGACTAGGCTGGAGTGCAGTGGTGTGATCTCAGCTCACTGCAGCCTCCGCCTCCTGGGGTCAAGCAGTTCTCCTGTCTCAACCTCCCGAGTTGCTGGGACTACAAGCGCATGCTACCATGCCTGGCTAATTTTTTTGCATTTTTAGTAGAGGCGGGGTTTCACCATATTGGTCAGACTGGTCTTGAACTCCTGACCTCAGGTAATCCACCACCTCGGCCTCCCAAAGTGCTGGGATTACAGGCATGAGCCAATGTACCCGGCCGAGTATTTGAGATATTTTTTTTTTTTTTGAGATGGATTTTTGCTCTGTTGCCAGGCTGGAGTGCCGTGGCACCATCTCAGCCCACTGCAACCTCCACCTCCTGGGTTCAAGCAGTTCTCCTGCCTCAGCCTCCCGAGTAGCTGGGATTACAGGCGCTCGCCACCACACCCAGCTAATTTTTATATTTTCAACAGAGACAGGGTTTCACCATATTGGCCAGGATGGTCTCGATCTGTTGACTTCGTGATCACCTGCCTCGGCCTCCGAAAGTGCTGGGTGGCATGAGCCACCGCGGCCCAGAGTGGTTATTTTCGTCTGGAACGTGAAAGTAGAAAGGAGGGCAGAGTAAGAGGAGGTGAGGCTTGGATAGCATGAAATAAGAAGGTGCTTGTTAGACAAGTTGCAGGACGTAGAGAAAACATGTTTGACGTGGAACAAAGCAGTTTGGTGTGTTGAGAAATTTGTAATCTTTGTGTGTGGAGAGTAGGATGTTGGTTGTGGTCCTCCTCTCAATTGATGACCGATAATGGTAGAGGGGGCAAGAGTCAGATCACAGAGAGCCTAACCAAGGAGTTCAAACTTTTACATGTAACAGGGAATATGGGAAGTTTAAATTTTTTTTTTTTTTTTTGAGACAGGGTCTTGCTCTGTCGACCAGGCTGGAGTGCAGTGGCACAGTCATGGCTCACTGCAGTGTCAACCTTCTGGGCACAAGTGATCCTCCCACTTCAGCCTCCCGAGTGTCTGGGAATACAGATATACTCCAGTCCACACAGATAAATTTTTTAGTTTTTAGAGAAACAGGGTCTTGCCCTGTTGCCAGGGCTGGTCTGGAACTCCTGGGCTCGAGCAGTCCTCCTGCTATAGCCTCTCAAAGTGCCGTGATTATAGGCATGAGTCACCATGCCCAGCCAAAAAAATTTTAACTAACATGATCTCAAACTAACAGAGGAATTGCAAGAATCTTGTATACCCTTAACCCAGATTCACCAATTGAAAAGTTTTGCTATGTTTGCTTTATTGTGTTTGCTATCTCTATAGGTATCATTTTTTCCCCTAAATCATTTGCTAGTTTGTCCCTAACTACCTCCGTGTATATTTCCTAAGAGCAAGGACATTTCCTTATATAATTATAGTACATTACCAAATTAAAGAAATGTAACATTGATATTTTATTATCTGATATAGTCTATATTCAGATGTCCTAATAATGATCTTTGTAGCATTTTTTTTCCCTGGTTCAAGATCCAATCTGGAAATATATACTGCATTTAGTTGTTAAGCACTTGAAAGTTTTAAGCAAGATAGAGTATGAAATACATTTTTAGAAAGATCTCCTGACCTCAGTGTGGGGGGTGGACTGGAAAGATCTGGAAACACAGGCAGAAAGATTGTAATAGTTTAAGATGAGAAATGATAACATAGTAGCTGCTAAAATGGAGACACATCAACTATAAAAAATTGTTAAAGTAGAATCCATGAAATCTGAAGATTATATAAAAATTTGGAGATGGTACAGTGGGTGAGTGAGAAAGATAATTTGAGAACGACTCCCAGGTTTCTGACTTGAAGGACTATCTGAATTATGAGAGACTTTTAGAAGGTATCAAATGAGTTAAAAAGAAGAATTAAAGATCAGATATGTGAGAGGGACTCATGATGATAGATATATACTTGGGAATCATCAGTATTACTGTGAGTGAAGTGAAAGGAGTAGTTGGTAGAACAAGTATTGTGGAAACAGAAGAGAGAACTAGAAGGAGTGACAGGAAGTAGAAATACTTGAGGAGAAGACAGAGGAAGAAGAGCCAACAAAGAAATAGAGAAGGAAGGAGGAGAGAGTAGTATTTTGGAAGTGAGTTAAAGGAGGGAGTTCAATAACTGAAGATGCTAAGTAGACCCGAAGTAAGTTGTATACTGAAAATAGTCATTTGGAGTTGCCTGTTGGAAGCTTATTGGTACCCTTACTAAAGCATCCTTAGTAAGGCAGCAGGAACATGAGCCAGATCACAGAGGATCGAGGGCTGAGAAGGATGAAGTGGGGAGAGATAGAGTTGCTTATTTATTTCTTTTTTTCTTTGAGTTGGAGTCTTGCTCCGTCACCAGGCTGGAATACAGTGGCGTGATCTCAGCTCACTGCAACCTCCGCCTCCCAGGTTCAAGCCATTCTCCTGCCTCAGCCTCCTGAGCAGCTGGGACTACAGGCGTGTGCCACCACGCTGGGCTGATTATTTTATTTTTAATAGAGGTGGGGTTTCACCATGTTGGCCAGGGTGGTCTCGATTCCTTGACCTTGTGATCCGCCCACCTCAGCCTCCCAGAGTGCTGGGATTACAGGCGTGAGCCACTGTGCCTGGCAGAGTTGCTTATTTTTTTAAGAAATTTGACTCTGAAGGACAGTTGAGATAAGAAACTGGCTGAATGTAGGGAAGATTTTTTTCTTTTCTTCCTTAACTAAATGGGATGCTCCTGGAAAAGAGTTGCTGGTTTTGTGTCTTTTTTTTTTTTTTTTTTTTTTTGAGACAGAGTTTTGCTCTTGTTGCCCAGGCTGGAGTGCAATGGCACAATCTCGGCTCACTGCAGCTTCCTCCTCCTGAGTTCAAGCGATTCTTCTGCCTCAGCCTCCCCAGTAGCTGGGATTACAGGCATGCGCCACCACAGCCAGCTAATTTTGTATTTTTAGTAGAGATGGGGTTTCTCCATGTTGGTCAGGCTGGTTTCGAACTCCCGACCTCAGGTGATCTCCCCATCTCGGCCTCCCAAAGTGTTGGGATTATAGGCGTGGGCCACCGTGCCCAGCCTTGTTTTGTATCTTTTGAAGTATATAGAATGATTTGGGATTATTCATGATGTTACAGCACTATTTGTATAATAAACTAAGAAATTTTTAAAAAGCATTTATTTGTGGCTTGAATTTTAAATTGAATTTTAAAAAGAATTATTGAGGAAAATGTGACATATACTCATAGAGAAACTAATATCTTTTATATATACAGCCCCAGGTTTTAACAGTTAATGTTTTTGTCAGTCTTTTTCACCTTGATCTATTTTAATACAATTCCAGATATCTTGCCATTTCACCTGCAAATGCCTAAAGATCATGATTTTACATGATTTTCTTTGCATGATTTTTGCAGATTTTCTAAGCAGTCCCACTTTAAGATCCGAAAGTAAAACCAAATTGTTAATGTTACAGAAGAATTACTTATCTAGCAGTGGATTTATCAAAGCATTCCTTAATGTGTGATAAAATTTACTATAAATTTTCAGGATTCCATAGTGTATAATCTGAGGTTGACTTAGGAGCATCTATGCTGAGAAACCTCAAATACTATATAAATACAATTCTGAAAAATTTCTACCATTCTAAAAATTTCTCTCTATTCACTGCTACTTTTATCTACTCTACTGTAGTAACTTAACTGTCCTCCTCGCTTCTAGTATTTCTATATTTTAATTCATCTTCCATATCCATAGAATTCATTTTCTGAAACACAAATATGATAATCCTGTTATATCCCTGTTTAAAAATATCTAGCTAATTTCAGGTTCTTAGTAAAGTTCTTCACAACCAGGCCCTTTCTGTTCCTTCTCTGACTCCATTCCTTCCATACCTTTTGGGTGTAATTATTCTGTTTGCTGTTTTTTGACCCACTTTGTGTGTTTTTTTTTTTTCTTCCACTTAAGATGTCCCTTCTGACAGAAATGCCCTCTCCATCAATCCATTTTCTGATTGGAAAACTCCCACTGGTTTTTTGAGATTTAGCTAAAATCTCACGTGTTACCTTCTTTTTGGTAGCTTTCTTTGACACCGATTTTGACCAAATTAGATAATCTCTTATCTGCATTCTTGTAATACTTGTTAATAGCCCTTATAGCTCTTACACAGTATGCTATAGTTATTTACATTCCTGTCTCTTATGCATACCCTTGCCTTCCACCCTTACCTAACTACAAACTGTAGGTTGTCCCAGCAGCCAGCACAGTGCCTGTAAACTAGGAATTCAGTAACAGTTCATTGAAATTAATCAAATTATTTTTAGCATCCACATTTAAGATACAATTGAGATGCTATGTTATACTCCTAGCATAATATGTATAATAATAGGCTTTGAAACAAAGCTAAAATTACTCTTCTTTAGTGTATTATAGTTATTAAATAATTTTTATGTTATTTTTATCCAATAAAGGTCATTTATGGAGGGTCTCCCTGTGTATCAAACATGGAGTTGCTAGATATAAGATCTCCTTTTTTATCTTACAGGCAGAATTAGATAGAAAAGGAATAGCAAACAAGAAAGATTGGTTAAAACAGTGAGCTGAGTGTTAAAACAGTGGAAAACGGTATGAGTGAGAAGGTCTTTTCACATATTGACTTCAAAAGGAATGCTATTAAGCTTAAGGAGGGTTCTGTGAGAAAAATATATTTTAGCGAATGTAACAATTCAGTAGGGAAACCTTGATTTAAGGGACCATAGCTTGTGGCAAACACAATAGTTCTTTACATATTTTACCTTTGTCTAATTTTTAAAATAAAATGTTCATAATGTGTCACAATTTTTGTTACATTTATTTTCGTAAAATATTTTCTCTTCCCTTTTTGTAGGTTCTGTTGTAGTTTTTCCTGAGACCACTAGATTGCACTATCATACAGCATTTTCTGTTTGAAAATGTTTTTCTATATATATATAAAATATAAACTCCATAACATTTTATTGCCACTATTATTTTAAAAGTTTTAGTATAATTGTCTTCAGGCTAGTTACATTCAGTTGCTATTTTGACTTCTAGCAGGTATTACTACTTTGTCTTATGGTAAATGAAGTGTGTTTCTGGAAAAGTAAGAGATTGACAGTTACATTTAGAACCTTATTTACTTTCTATTAACTGCAAGTCAAATTAGTGTCTGTAAATCTTACCTTCTGATGATCAATGGTATTACAAATGCATTAAACTAGATGGGCAAACATTTAGTCCAGTGACAAAATCTTTGTGGTTAAGAGACACATTGAGAATAGATGTTCTAAATAATTTGGACCAAACATATTTACTAAAGTTTAAATATATATATATATATATATAGTTAATTAACCAAATAACAACAAAAATTGTCTCCCTTCTGCCTCAGTTCATTGATTTCCTTTCCCAAGGAAATCTTATCAACTGATATCTTATGTATTATGTATCCTTCCAGAAAGATTCATGTGCATAGGCTAATGAAATAGATATATATCTTTTAAAAAATATATGGAGACATATGTAGTATTTTGTACCTTTTACTTTTTGCTTAAGAGATCAGTTCATTGTCATATGAATATATTTTTTTCTTCTTAATGTGTAAATGTTACTATAAAACATTTCATACATACGTATAAGATATAAAGACTATTGTAAAAAATACTTATGTACCCATCACCTACCTTAAGAAATAGGATATCAACTGCCTATGATTTTCATAGGTTTTCTTAGAATTCCCAACTTTTTTTTTCCTGTTGTGACTGCAAAATGATTATTGCAAAATAAGAAGGATTTCAGTATTTTATACATTTGAGCAAATAATTTTTCATTTCCTTTCTACTTTTCTTTCTTTTTTTTTTAGACAGGATTTGGTTTAAGTGATTCTCCCACCTTAGCCTCCCTAGTAACTGGGATTACAGGAGCACCACCATGCCTGGCTAATTTTTGTATTTTTTGGTAGAGACAGGGTTCCACCATATTGGCCATTCTGGTCTCGAACTCCTGACCTCTGGTGACCCATCTACTTTGGCCTCCCAAAGTTTTGGGATTACAGGCATGAGCGCCCGTGCCCGGCCACTGCTTTTCTTAAATTGTGAAAAAACCTAATGGTAAGTGCTCAGTTAGGTTTTTATTAAAAAACAAAAACAAAAACAAAAAAAACTTTCAAATTTGGCTGTTACACTTTTCTTCCTTTATTACTTTATTTTGGTTTTTCAGATTATTATTTTGGTTTTTCAAATTATTGTTGTTTGTATTAATATCCCATTCTTAACACATTGAATATTTATTATAAACAGCCTCAATATTTTAGGGAGCTGACAAGTGAAAATATACGAATAGAATAAGCAGATATGGCTATTTTTAGTCACCCTTTAAAAAATTTCTACATTATCTGGGTTATTTATCTAGTCTCAGATGGTTAAATCTGAGATATTTAAATCAGATGGTTAAATCCTATTAACCAGAATGATAACATTCTGTCAACTTTGAAAAGAAGATAAGATAGTATTCCCATTCACAGTTCTTTTTGAGTAAAAGACAAAGGATATCTTGACTAGTTTAAAAAAATTCATTTCTAGTGGAATATCTTACTCAACATTGATGATTTGGGTTTCCCCCCTTGGATTGTACAGTATAATGCATATTTGGCAAATCATGATTATCTGACAAGGCACATAATATTGTAGATGACTTTTCTTTTTAAAAAGCTCAATTTTTTTTAGAAAAGTCTTCTACAAATTTATTTCACAATCCAAACTTTTTTTTTTTTTTTAACTGTTTTTGATAGTAAAATTTTGCTTTGACAATCATCAGGAAAATTTGAATACTGCAGAAACTAGGATATTATATGGTTCATTTTGTTATTACAGAAAGAAGAGTTATGGTTCCCAGAGTTATTCCTTTATTTTGTTAAAAGGATACTTGATGGTATAACAACAACAGCAACAACGAAAAAGGCAAGCACTTTTGTATTATAACTTTGACACCATGGAAAGCTATGAGCCTTTGAAAGTTCTAGGAGTGTTCAGCCAGGACTACTGAATTCTTGTAACTACTACTATTGTGTATGTTAAAATTAATTTAAATGTATTTTAAGATGGTCTGTGTTTTCTCATTTCTTTGTTAGAGCCAAATACCACAAGTTGAAATATGGGACAGAATTGAATCAGGGAGATATGAAGCCTCCAAGCTATGATTCTGGTAAGCTAATTTTAAAGGAAGTTGAAGTGTTAAAAAGAAATAATTAATGTCTACTATTTTCTAGCAACAATGTTTACAACTATAAGTTAGTTTCTAATTATTTGCATGTTAGTTATTTTTTCTGACCTACTTGTCTTTTGGCACCAATCATTTAGTGTCATTTAGATCATTTTCCACCACCTTCCTTCCTTTTCCCTCTTCCCCTTTCTTTTAGTTTGCCATTTTCTGCTTATGTTCAGAAAAACATAAGCAGATCCTTCCTTACTGGAAGGATCAGAGTTCTTGGGGTAATATGCACCAGCATAACCTTGTCTTGCTGGGTCTGTCCAATTAATGGGAACTTTGAGATGTGCAGTACAAAGTACATCATGCCCTTGAAATCCTGAGAAAGAGTAGGAAATATGGAGGTAAGAGATTTCTTCTTAAAGCACAGAGGAATTCCTCATCCCAAAAACATAATTCTTCGGTTTCAGATGGAGAACTGTTTTGGTCTTTCTTGCCCACAGGAGTTTCTGTAACTAGAACATGTTTTAACAGCTGAAGCATTTATTATAATTTTGAGTTATTTCTTCTTTTTCTCCTACTTCTTCATACCATCAAACAATATAAACTATTACTTGTAAATAATCAGATATTAAGAAATATAGATATAATTCACTTAGTAGAACCCAGGAGGCGGAGCTTGCAGTGAGCCGAGATCGCGCCACTGCACCCCAGCCTGGGCGACACAGCGAGACTCCGTCTCAAAAAAAAAAATAATAATAATAATAATAATAATTCACTTAGTAGGTATTAGGGAAGAATGACAAAAATTAATCAAAAGTTATCAACCATATTTCAGATAGGTACATTTTTGGTATAATTTCAGGTTAAATTTCCCAGTCAGATATCTGAAAACATTAATGTTCATTTATATCATTTACTGAAATATGTACCTTGTGCTAGAGGCTTTATAAATATATATTTATGTACATATCACTTTAAATTTTAAAGTAGTTATTCAGTAAAGTATCTTCGGTACAGATAATGTTTATTTGGATTTTACATATGTGAAATTTAAACTCAGGGAAGTGGAAAAAGTTGCCCAACGTCACAAAGATATTAAGTAACGACAGAATATGGAGACGAACCCAGGTCTTTCTGACCCCAAAATTCATATTCTTCCCATTTTATCATATTGCTTCTATATTTGACAATGTATGAAAGAACTTTCCAAAATGAGTTCTAAATGTACTGCCAATTTTATAGTTACTTCAGTGTAGTAATGTATTAATGCGTTTCCTCAGCTGAATATTGAATGCTTGAGATCTACAGCAATGCCAGTTGATCACTGGTGTATTTTTTTTCCTTTGTTTTTTACTATTCTGTCTTTTACTTGAGTGTCTGTTCTTGTGACCTGAGTTGTGCTTAAGTTTCAAAATAAATTTTTAAAAAATCTAGGCTATTTGTTAGAAACGTTCTAATACTATATTAACTGACTCAAAAGAGTGATTTTAATTAGTATTGCATTAAAAGGTTTTCATTTCTTAAGTTTTGGATATCAATTTAGGAGAATAGAAGCCTAGATGCAATATATTTTTTAAGTGTTCGTAAGTAAACATGACTGGCTGCAGTAGCTAATTCTTATAATCCCACTTTGGGAGGCCAAGGAGGGAGGATTGCTTGAGGCTAGGAGTTTGAGACCAGCCTGGGCAACGTAGCAAGACCCTGTCTCTACATAAAAATTAAAAAATTAGCTGGGGATGGTGGCACATGCCTGTAGTCCTAGCTACTGGGGAGGCTGAGGTGAAAGGATCACTTGAGCTCAAGAGTTTGAAGTTAGGTTACAGTGTGCTAAGATTGTGCCACTGCACTCCAGCCTGAGTGAAAGAGTGAGATCCTGTCTTTTAAAAAAAAATTGTAAAGTTTATAAGTAAGCAGCGCAGCTCAGTAGAAGGGGCTTGTGTTTTAAAAGCAGATAGATGTAAGTTTGACTCTGCCCCAACATTTTAAATTCCCGTGATCCTACTTAATTTCTCTATGGTTACTCCATTCCTGATCTGTAAACTAGGAAATATTCTGAGAATACTTCCTTACTCAAATGTTTATTTTCTTAGTATACAATACCTAGTTATTCTCAGTGTATAATATTTAGTTAGTACGTAGTATCATTTGTTCTATCTTTCTGACCATCCACTAATCTTATAAATATTGTATATATAATGTTTTTCAGACCTAGTACCAAATCCAGTGAATAAGACAACAATGCCCTGTTGGATTTTTATAGGGAAGATAGTTAAAGAGGCGATTACAATAACATATGACATGTATAATGGAGAAATAATAAGTGTTACTGAGCGCAGTAGCACAAACTTAGTCAAGTGGTCAAGAAAGCCTTCTTGGAGGAAGTGATGTTTAATTTTGACATCTGAAGGACAAGTAGAAATTAGCCAGGGCAAGTAGACTGACTAAATATTTGTTGAATGGGAGGTGGGAGAAAGACAGAGTATTAGCAGCAAAGCTTCTGAGGTAAGACTATGGCACATTTGAGAAATGGGATACCTGGATAGTAGTGGGAGAGAGGGAAGGAATGTTTCCAGAGGTAGATAGAGAGTTAGCTGGGGGGTAGAATAGTTACAAGGGTCTTGTGAAACATGTTAAGTAGTTCATGCCTAGGAATATTCTGAGCATTTGAAGAAGGAAAGCATTCGAAGGATCTTAATTAGGGGTTTATGATCAGATTTGCTCTTGGATTACATGGACTGTAGTGTGGAAGATGGATTAGAGAGGAGCAGTGTTGGAGAGGGGGCGACTGGTTAGAGGACTGTTGCAGCAACCTGGGCAAATGAGTAAGGTTTCCTTGACAAGGGTGTGTTCATGAAATATTTAGGAAGTAAAATCTGCAGGAACTAGTTCTTTTTATGTATACATAAATTTGATTTTATGCTGATCTTCTCTGTATTATTCTAATTTTAGTATATGTGCTGCCAAGGCAAGCACAGGAACTACTTCTTGATTGGATGTAGGGGGTGAAAAAAGGATGAGTCAGAAGTGACTCCCACATTTGTAGTTTGAACGACTAGACCAGAAGTAGGTTTAGAAAATGGTGGGTTCACTTTTGGATTTATTTCTTAGATAACCAAGTGAAGATGGCTAGTAGACAATTGAGTATATGGGTCTGAAGCTCAAGCCAGAAATATGGATGTGTTAGAGACATAAATTTGAGAGGTATCAACACATGGTACTGGTGGCACTCACAGCCACTGGAGTTGAAACGATCACCCAGGAGCTGTATGTGAGGTAAGATTACATAAAATGGAACCCTGAGGGGTGACATTTAAAAGACTGGTAGAAGAATGGAAACATGAAAAGGAGTCTGATACAGAGTACATTAATGGTAGGAGGAAAACCAGGAGACCAAGGAAACCAAGAGAAGAGATGGTTTCCAGAAGGAAGGACTATTCAACACTACTGGTTATTTCCCAGAGAGCTGAAGAATATCTGTAGGACTTTGTGACACGTGGGACACTGAGAACTTTAGGAGAGAGGTGAGGGCAGAAACAAAGTGGGTATAGTTAGCTTTCAGGAAGCTTAGGTTGTGAAGGTGAAGGAGAGAGAGAGCAATAGCTGGAAGGACACATGGGGTCAAGGAAAGTTGTGTGTGCACGCACATGTGTGATATGTGTCTTAGAGGAGTAACCAATAAAAGGGAAAGAGTAGAGGTACTCAAAACAGGAAGATAATGTAAAGAAGGTGATAGGGTTTGGATTCTGAGCATAGCTGGAGAATGGCAGGAGGAGCATGTCTTTTATCATTACCAAAAGAGAATGTAGGAAATTAGGTTAACAGGTTTATAGATTTGGATTTCTATTTGGTGGTGGGTATTTGAGGGAATGTCCACAAATGATAGCTTTATGTATGAGATAGGATTATCTGCTGAGAGTGGGTCAGATGTTTAAGAAGTAGAAAAGGTTTAAAATGCTAATGGTAAACAGGAAGACTAACTTTCTAGGAAATAGTAGGGTCGAGAAAAGCTAAGAGTCCAGTTGAGGTGTGTGATCATGAGTGTATGTAGAGGCACTAAGCTGCACATTTGGTAGCCTGGGTAAAGTCGAAGAGAATGCAGATAGTTAATAGTTGAATTCACGGAGAAACAAAGGGACAAAAAAATTTGGCAAAGGAATGATTGAAGTGATAAGCCATGAACTGAAACTACAGAGGGAAGGAAGTGAAGACACAAGGAGGCTGGCTAATGGGTGAATTAAAAGTAAGTGAGTAGATTCTGTTCTAGGGCAGGTCAGCAAACTTTTTCTGTAAAGGGCTGGATAGTAAATATTTTGGGTTTTGCAGGCTGTTTCAGCTACTCAACTTTGCCACTGTAACATGCAAGCATTCATGGACAATACATAAATGAATGGATGTGTCTGTATTATAAAAATAGGTGGTAGGCTGGATTTGATAATGCAGGCAGTAGTGTGCTGGCACCTGGCTAGAGGTCCCAGCTAAGTTAAAGAACTAGTGAATTTAGGGAAAAAAGAAATAAAAAAGAGCTAATGAATTGGGAGTAAGTGAGCCTGACGGGTCTGCTCAGAGAATCAGTTTGCATCTATGATAGTTCTTCATGATGACAAGACCTAAGATACGACAGCTAGAGAGGGTGGTGGCTGTGGAGAGGCAGAAGTGGATCACCTACATGCATACTGATTTCACTCAAGATAATGTAGAATTTTGGTGGCAGAAGCATGTGAGCCAGATTTGGAGCGTTACCTTGGGATTTATAGATGACAGTGATAAGGACTAGGAGGTGGCAGAAAGGGTATACTCAAATAGCATAACCTTTAAAGAAGCAGGGATTTTTTTTTTTTCCATTCTTTGCTCTTTTATGTATTTACCATATTTTCCTAAAACTGATAATCCAGACATTTTCTGAAACATTTTTCACTAAAATTTACTTTGCCTTTCTGTTTTTTTTTTTTTTTTGTCCCACTCTCAGACCTTCGTATTTCTACTTTAGGAGAATA